CCATCCCAATTATCCCAGTCACTGAATCAATCCACCTCATAGAGGGCCTTCCCCTCCTTTTCATAATATTCTGTTACTATATTTTTCATTTCAGTTGTTTCTGTTGTGATGTCACTGCTTTCATTTCTTATTTGAGTTGGTTTTGTTAAGTTTGCCAATGGTTTATCTATATTATTGACCCTTTGGAAGAACCAGCTACTGGTCTGGTTGATTATTTAATCTCCCCCCCGCCCCCGCCGTTTTCTATCTCACTGATTTCACCCCTTATCCTTACAATTTCCTTTCTTAGAAGCTTCTAGAGAAGCTGCAGGATTAGCTGGTTGGTTTGTTGTTGTTTTTTGTTTCTTTTCTGTATTGGCTGGAGATGTTTTTTCTTATATGTTTGTTAATTGTTATGTACTGCTCCCCTGAGGGCTGCCTTTGCTGTATCTCAGAGGTTTTGATAAGTTGTATTTTCATTCATTTCAAGGAACTTTTTAATTTTACATTTCATTTCTTCTATGATCTGGTAGTGCTCAAGTAAGGTGCTTTAAGTCTTATGACGTGGTCTGAGAAGATGATTTATATTATTTCATTTTTTTTAATTTGCTGAGGCTTGGTTTGTGTCCTAATATGTAAAGAGAGGAAAGTTAACTGAGTTTTAATTGAGTTTTAGTTGGATAAAGTACCCTGAATATGAGGCCAAATGATCTAATTGTATCATTTAGTTCTTCTGTGTCTTGAGTTTCTTGAGAATTGACCTGTCCTTCAGTGAAAGTGGTATGCTGGTCTCCTATTACTATCGTGTTGTTGTCTATATCTTTCTTCAATTCTGTTAACCTTGGTTTTCTGTATATTGCAGGTCTATCATTTGTGGTGTAGACATTAACTAAAGTTATGTCCTCTTGATCTACTCTGCCTTTGATTATTACACAGTGCTTTTCCTTATACCTTACAGTGGTTTTCATCTAGAAGTCTGTTTTTTCAGAGATTAGTGTTGCCACTCCTGCTTTCTTTCTTTCTTTCAAAGTTCAAGCTATAACTTTACAAACTTTATTGTAGTTACCATTATGCAGCCTGGGGTTTTACAGAAAATGGTTGGTGCAAAGGCACACAAAAGTAGTTACTTGTTCATGTATAAACAACACTACCTTAAGGAGCTTAGAGCTTATCACTCTGGAACAAAGAATTTTGGGCTTGGGGCTGTTTTCAGCCAACTGACAATGTATTTCTGAGCATGTGTCTGTCACTCCTATCACTCTTCCTTTCTTATGGATGCCATTTGCTTTGTATATCTTCTCCACTCTTTCATTTTTAGTTTACCTGTATTCTAGTATTTGTTATGTTTCTTTTTCTGTTGTTGCTTGTTACTTTGGTCCATCCACTTTGCTTTGCTGTCTCTATGTTGAAGGACTTCCCTTAGTATTTGCTATCGAGTTGGCTTTGTTTTCACATATTCCTTAAATTCCTTACATTTTCAGCAAATGACCTAATTTCTTCTTTCTATTTCATGGGCAGCTCTCCTTGATATAGGATCCTTGGCTGGCAATTTTTTTTCCAGCCTTCTATATATGCCAACCGACTGTCTTTGTGCTCATATGATTTCTGATCAAATTGGTCATCTTCTGTAGCTGTTTTTCTCGTGCTGCTTTTAGTATCCTATCATTGTGTTAGATTTTTGGAGAATTTGACTATGTCTTGATGTTTTTTCCTTTGGAGTCTAATCTGTTTGAAGTTCACTGAGCTTCTTGAATGTGTATTTTCCCTTTTTTTTATGATACCTGGAAAGTTTTCTTCTAATATCTCTTCGACAATTTCCTTCTCCTGTTCTGGAATTCCGATCACACATATGTTGTACACTTTGATGTCATTCCAAATGATTCTAATGTTTTCTTCACATTCCTTCTGTCTTTGGTTTTTTTCTTCTAGTATGTTCTAATTGAGGTTCTTGTTGCCTATCTCATTGATGCTGTTTCATCTTTTCTATACTGCTTTCTGTTCCTGCACCCTGTTGAAAATTTCTATAATATTGATTTTGATATTCTGATTGTATTTTCATGTTTTTCTGTTGTTTCTAGTACTTTGTTGGCTCTATTATCTGTCTTGTAATGCTTTTTAAATTTCTTGCTGCTATTTATTTTTCTTCTTGTTATGTGCCGTTGAATTACCTGCAACTCATAGCAACCCTATGTACAATAGCTCTGAACCTTACCTTATCCTCAGCCAATCCCATCATCTCTGAGACACCTAATCCCATTATTTGTAACTTCTTTAGTACCTTTTCTAGGAGCTTCATTTTGGTATATTTCTTCTGCCGTCCTGTCTCTGAAATATTAATTGGGTTCAGATTCTTTTCTACTATTTTAGGACAGGATGTATTTTAATTTTTTATGATATTTGAATTAACTGCTGCTTACTAGACATTATGTGGGGTTCTTCTTGGCATATGTGAATCGGTTTCTTTTGTTTCTGTGTAGGCAGTTGTCAGTTCATTACCTTTATGTTTTTATGGATAGAATTGCAGCTTTTAAGTGTTGCTCACAATTCAGTTTCCCAGTGGCAATCTTCCTAGCTGGTTCTGTTCCCTGTTTCCCATGGCATGCATCTCATCTAGTTATCTTGGAGGGGCAGCCAGATGGAGTCTCTGTCTTTGCCCAGCTGTGATTGGCCTGCTTTTCTGACCTGACCTATCGTTTGATGGAAGGTGGCAAGTTTTCCTCAGGGGTAGGCAAAGTTCCAGGAGTGTTATCCGAGGCTTGCTCTTCTTCATGTTAGTAGCACATCTGTCCTCTCTTGTAGCTACCTGGATGAGAGAGGCTGCTTTTCCCAAGAAATCAATGACTCTGAGGAGCCAGCAAGGTCCCAGGACTGCTGCCTAGGGCACTTTTCCCCCAAAATCTCAGTGACAGAGGTTTATCTGTCCTCCTACGTTAACTATTTAACTTACAATCATCAACATCATGGAAACTCACATTAAGTATTAACAAAGTAATTAATAAAGGAAGGGCAGATTATTTAATAACATTATGTCTTAAAAAAACAACAATTAAAAAACACCCCAATGCAACAACAACAACAACAATAACAAAAATCCCCAAACCAACCAAACCACATACACATAAAATCTAATCTAAAATAATGAGTATAGCATTAGTGTAAGAATGAAATAAATCATAATGTAAGGCATTTAGAATATTTAGAAATAATTCTTGGCATATACTATATGTTAAAAGGATACTAGCTCTTACTATTATTACTACATGACAAAATATTTACTTACTCTTTTGTTGAGACAAATAACAGGCCACAAGCTGCAACCTAGTGAGCAACAGCAGCAGAGACAGCCACAAAGCAGCCATTTCACATTGACTGGAAGAGCCTTTTTCAAAAATGCATTCACACGGCCAATGCTGGTCTTAAATTCTTCTGGGGCTACCTACAACAATGGCATACTCTTTAACAGTTTGTGGGCAACTTTTCACAAATTATCTCTGAATATAAGTAAAATATCTTATTTTATCCATTGTTGATAAGTTTAATTCATATGTTCATGAACTTAAGAGATCATAAAAGTTCAACTCATAGAGACCCTATTACTTAGTTAAATTACTTTAAGCATTTAAAAATATCTATATGTACTTCGCCATCCTCGATGGCACATAACAACAATAACAACAACATCCTCCCATAAATATATAATACACACTCTAAGAAAGGTGGAGGGTCAGCCAAAGAGAGTAAGATACTCAGCTAGATAGGTGGCACAGTGAAAGCAGCAATGGGCTCAAGTACGTCAGAGATGATGAAGATGGCATTACATAGGACAGGGTTCAGATCTGTTGTTCACAGGGTCACTATGAATCATACTCAATGGCACCTAACAACAACAACAATGCATTTTACTAAACAAGATAATGCCAAGTTCAAAGATCTGAGCCTGATTAAAAAACTTAAACAAAATTAGAAACCTGAAATGATAAAAAAGAAAACGGCAACATTAAAAGTGATACTTTCTATTATCTATTCTTATTAATAGAATGAGTTTACTTATCATATAGTCTCATTAAGTTAATATTATTTATATTTGCAAGTCACTCAGACCAGAAGTCAAGTAAGATTAGAAAATGACAACAATAAAACTTATACCTGACAGGTACTTTCCTTTACCACCTATTCTCATTATTAAGGTAATATTATAGTTGCCAATCACTTTGACCAAAAGTTGAGTAATACTGGAAATACAAAACACAATTAAAAACATACTGCAGGTGGAAATAGAAAAGTGGAAACCTTTTCAATATTCATGAATTGCTTTTTATATTCATGGATAGCGTATATTTCCAACATCATTTTTTAAAATAAATTATTTTATTAATTTTAATGAACATTTACAGAGATTTTGGATTTCTATTCATTCATTTTGGAACTTTTTCCTCTAACCACCCCCCAATTTGTTCCTCTCTTTGAAAAGCAAACAATAAACATCTTATTTGGTATACAATCCCCCACCCCTGCCCCCGCCCTCCAGCCCCGAATGCACTTAACTATGTAAACTTAATTCTAAATTCCTGTAATAATCATAATACCCTATCAATTTTATCATTTGTAACTATTTGAAGGGGAAAGTTACACTAATAAAAAAATCAATACTTAGTAATCACATTAAGAAATTTTGCTTATTCAGCATAAAAATGCTTATAATATTGACTGTTAGCAGATTCTTTAAAACACAAATTTACTACTTCTAAAAGAATTTAAAAATAAATCCCATTCATACAAGTGGTTGCTTGTTCCTCTCTAGACACAATGGGAACGTCAATTTAGGGGCCTAAGATGTTGTTGTTATGTGCCCTCAAGTTGCCTGTGACTAATAGCAACCCTATGTACAATAGCTCTAAAACCTGCTCTATACTGTGCCAATCTTACTGTATCTGACACACCTACCCCCATTACCCCAATCACTGAATCAATCCATATAAACAAGCATCTTCCTCTCTTGCACTGTCCCTCCACCCTCCCAAACTTGATGTCCCTCTCCAAGGACCTCCTTGCAACATGTCCAATGTATGCCAGACAAAGCTTCTGAATCCTTGCCTCCAAGGAGCAGCTTGGCTTCACTCTCTCTAGGACAACCTTGTCTGTTCTCCTAGCAGTCGATGATATGTTCAATGCTCTTCTCCAGCATCACAGCTCAAAGGCATCAATTATCCTTCTATCATCCTTAGTCATTGTCCAGCTTTCTGATGCATAGCAAGTAATTGCAAAGACCATGGCCTGATCAGAGGGACCTTAGTCTCCAGACTGACATCGTTGCTCTTCAATACTCTGGAGAGTTCTCTGACAACAGACTTTCCCAATGCAATTTGTCTTTTAATTTCCCGGCTGATAGTATCAAGGGTGTTGATTGTAGAGCCAAGCAAACTGAAGCTTTTAACAATCTCAATCTCTTCATCATCTATCATGATGCTGCCAATTGGTCCAGTGGTGAGACTTTTTTTTTCTTGATGTTGAAGGCTGCAGTTCTTGACCTTCTGCATCAAGCACTTCAGGTCCTCCTCAATTTCAGCAAGAAGAGTTGTGTCATCTGCATAATGCAGATTGTTGATGAGTCTATCTCCAATCCAGATGCCACATTTCTCCTCATAGAGCCCAGCCTCCTGAATAATCTGTTCCGCATATAGATTGAAAAGAAGGGAAAACAGGACACATTCTTGGCATACTCCCTTCCCAATTTTGAACCATGCAGTGTTTCCTTGCTCTGTTCTGACAACTGCCTCCTGGTCTAAGTATCACATAATCACAATCAAGTGTTCTGGAATGCCCATTCTTCTCAGAGTCAGTCACAGTTTGTTGTGATTCACACAGTCAAATGTCTTTGCATAGTCAATGAAACATAAATAGACATTCATCTGGTACTCTCTGCTGTCAGCCAAGAGGCACGTGACATTAACTATAACATCCCTAGTACCACAGCCTCTTCTAAAACCAGCCTGCACTTCAGATAGTCCTCTGTGGATGTGCTGTTTCAGTCATTTTTGGATAATCTTCAGCAGAATCTTGCTTGCATGTGATATCAATGATACTGTTTGATAATTTATGTACTCTGTCAGATCACCTTTCTTTGGAATGGGAACAAATTTGGATCTCTTCCAATCAGTTGGCCAGGTGGTTGTCCTCCAGACTTCTTGGCACATCTTCATGAGCACATCCAGGACAGTGTCTTTTTGCTGAAATATGTTGATTGGTATGCCATCAATTTCTGGGGCTTTGTGTTTTGCCAATGCTTTGAGAGCAGGTTGAACTTCTTCCTTCATAACCAAAGGCTCTTGCTCATGCATTGTTTCATGAAATTCTTTTGTGTCTGCCAATTCCATTTGGACAATGACTCTGTATACTCCTTCCATCTTCTTTTAATGCTTCCTGGATCACTTCATATTCTGCCCAAAGCATCCTTAAGTATTGCAACTCGAGGCTTGAATTTGTTCTTCAATCCTTCATCTAATGAAATGCTGAGAGTTTGGTGCTTTTATTTTTTACTCGAGCTCCCTGCACATTTCATTGTAATATTTCACTTTATTTTCCCATGCTACCCTTTGAAACAGCACATCAACAGAGAACTACCAGAAGTCCAGGCTGGGCTTGGAAGGGGTAGTGGTACTAGGGATCTTGTAGCTGATGTTAGATGGATCTTAGCTGAAAGCAGGG